AATATTGAGGAGAGAACTAGGAAAGGACTAGCTGCATACTATATCTGCAAAAAGACCTTTGAGAAGCGATGGGGATTGTCACCGTACGTAGTATACCGAATGTACACGACGATCATCAGGCCTATCATTACCTATGGGTCTCTTGACTGGTGGAAGGCGTTGGACAAAAAATGCAATCTAACCCGCATCGGAAAAACACAAAGATTGGCTTGCTTAGGTATAACCGGAGCAATCAATAGTATGCCTAAAAAAGGTCTAAATGTAATACTACATCTCCTACCACTGTGGGTGTTTATTCAAGGCTGTGCTGCCAAAAGTGCTCTTAGGCTTCGGAAGTCTAAGATGTAGAAACCAGCTAACTAAAGACACCGTACAATTTTGAAGGAGATTAGAAGCAGGGGTTATGGCTCAGTCATGGCGTGTCTGGACTCTGCTACAGACTATATGACACCAATACTAGATTTCAATACCACTAACTGCCTAATCAAAAACAAAGTTTAAACACATTGAAAATTAATGTTGCGAATAATATTTGTAGCTGAAGATGTCGCTATAACTGAAACTAATACTTGATTCACCGGAGAGCTTTGTTTGTAATTTTAGCTGTCATGTTTGTTATTTTAGGTGTCAATTGTTGTTGCTTTCAATGCAAAATCGACAGATAAATTTCTGACAGATAAAATTACAAACAAAACTCTAGTACAAATTCAGTTCTAGTACAAAATTTGAAACATATTTAACTTTTCTATCTCTAGCCTTAATTGATTTCATGATATCTTATTTGATGTTAACAGAAAAATGGAACTTTGAATTCTATGTGTAATTTCATTAAAATAATTTGGTGAAACTCCTGGAGACAAATGCGTATAAAATAATGTGTGTACTTGGGGCACAATAACATTAATACCACTGTTACTCTGGAGTCCAGTTTTGTTCACACCATATGGACGTTTTTTTAAGTCGTTAATTATAAAATTTAATTCCAAATCATATCGCTCTTTTGATTTAAGGAACAGCTAATTACAATTGTTTTTCATGAATTGATATATTGTTTCATAAAACTTAGCAGCTGATCTTTCTTAGTATATATATATAAGTCGTATTCCATCAGAAACATAAAGGATTTATATAGAGCCTCCAGTTGTCTCTGTTTCTGTTTCTGGTTAAATGCCGTAGTTCGTTGAAGGTTTTATCAGTTTATCAGTTTTTGTGTATATCTCCACTGGTCATAATGCATCTACTTTTATCTGTAAACCCATATCCATGACATGCAGAGCCTGGTTATGTCTTGCTATATTTTCTTATTCGTATGAAAATGAAAAGTGATATGGTTCGGTATTCATGTCGTACTGTGAAATTTATGGATATTTTAAGTAAGCATTTTTTTTTTTTTGTTAATCCATTTATTTTATTACAATCTGTCAGGTATGAATGACAATAAGTAATATATATAATTATAAATCGCAATAATAATTATTACGATCTAAAAAAAGAAAGACACGTATGGACTATGCCCAGTGACATATCCATATATATTTAAAATAACAATGTGTGATCTATAAATACATATCTAAAATATCTCTCGATGTTTTCCTTCTCAGCTTTGTAAAAGTGTAGGAAGGGGACATCAGGTGTGTAACCAGCGGATTTGGGTGCATATATATGCGATGAGCATAATTCTTTAAAATACTGGCTATTTCTTCCTTGATTGTCGGAACATGTAATTGTTTGTGCAGCTGTTCATTCATTATATACCAAGGTGCATTTGTGATCATTCGCAATGTTTTAGATTGGAAACGCTGGATAATTGCCAGGTTTGAGTCTGCTGCAGTATATATAGGTTTTAGTACAGATTTGTATATAAGCAGCTTATTGTCGAATGACAGTTTGGAGTTTCGGCTGAGGAACCAGAATAAGTTTCGTAATTTAAGACCCAGGGCCTTACGCTTTTTGAATATGTGTGATTTTCAGTTTAGCATTTAAAAAATATTTTTTTTTCAAATACAGAAGCATATAAATATTTAAATTTAAAATTTAAATTTTAAAAGTTTAAACTGATGATGAGTACTTGGCAATACTCGAAACAGCGTTATATGGTCAATCTAATTTCAATAAATTAACTAAGTCTTTATTCTTGTTTTGTTTTTCTACCAATAATTTATTAAATAAAATCGATTTTTAACTAAATTTAAAAATTAATTGACCGCTTGTGCAGTAGGAAATCAACTGATCCATTCTATTTTATGAAAAGTAATATATTCGATTATTCATGCAAATAGGGGGAAACACAAGAATCGATCGAGTTTGGGTGTTGGACGTAAAGGTATGAGAAGTTTTATACCAGCTGACACCAACATTAAGCAATTGCATTCCATTTTTGTGTGTGTAAACTTTTGATGATCGCATTCAACTAGTGTTGTTTGTGTATTTATGTTATATTGGGTAACACTTTGTCATCATTATTTACTTTTTCTGTGTTCAATCATTTACGTTCGCCTCGAATCAATAATTGTTTCTTTAAAGTAATATGGCGTTCGCATTGGCCGAAAATGGCTCATTTTGGTTATAAATCGAAAATGAGTAGCGAATGGCTCATTCTTGTATACAAACTTTCAAGCGCGAAAATGAGCAATTTTCTCACATTCTGTACGAAAAATGTTCGAATGCATTCCACATATGTTCCAAATGCAAATGAATCCATTGAACATACCCTCAATAAAAGCTTTTCATGGCATTTTGACAGTTTGAGAAAGCTGTTTTTGACATATTTACAAAAAAAGGAAAACAAATGTTTGGTGGTTGAATTTTCTTGAAAACGATGTACCTCTTTTTAGAACTTCTACTTCCCAAAAGGTAATTAATAAAAGTTAAAAATATGTTTTAAATATGTTTAACCCTACAAGTTTGAAAGTATATTTAACCTTGATGCAATATTTTTTTGGCACAGGCCAAAAATCAAATCAACAAGCAAGTTGAAAAATCAGCTGTTTGAAATGAGAACAAACGAATTATAACGAATGTAAACACTTTTAAATGGCTCATTCAAAATGAGCCATTTTCGGCCAATGTAAGCGCCATATAAGAACGTGTCAGCTTATTCCATTGAACACAATTAATTTAATGTTCAATTGGTTCTAACCTTTACAGCTATGTGTACTTCGGCAAGACTGTTTCGCTTTTCAAGAAAACATCAAATCAATGAGGATGTAATTTCAAATAAGGAAATTACTTATTGTGTTAACAATTCCATTATATTTAACTCGATCATCACGTTTACGCGAACCTTAAAATTTGTTTTAAGGTTCTTAAAATCGATTTTAAAACTACTTAAAAGCACTTTTAGCTTACTAAAAGCAGTTTATCATCACTTTTAGTAAGAAACATCACTTTTAAGCATTGCGTAAACATTTTAGGTCTGTTTCACGAGCTAATCGTAGTAAAATTCAGGTAAAACACATGTAAAGTACAAACCGAGAGCGTAACACAAACTGAGAGCGTGCCAAATTTCGCTCATTATGCAGATTTTCATAAAACAGGTTTGTGTAAAATCTGGTGAGCACACCAGTGCCACGCAAATAAGAAACACAAAAATTTAAATTCTAACCAAATCAGCTGATTCACACATCACTCAAATTTTACTTGAAATAAAATGTACGAGTAAACTTTGTGTAGCATTTTCAAATTTCGACAGGTTGTTACGCTCTCTCACATGCTCTCAGATGCTCTCATATACTCGAAAATTTGCTGTTGGAACGCACTTATGTATACAGATTGTTACTCAAAGGTACTACGAGTAAAGGTCGTGGAACAGACCTCTTAAAAGCAGTTTAAGATTTGAATTTTCAGCTGTTAACTATCAATAGGTATTTGAATTTTATTACAAATAACACAGTTGATAAAAGAAAACCTAAAACTATGAAAAAAAAACGGAAAACAAAAATTGGATTGAAAAAGTGGAAAAGTATTTTATTAAAGTATTTGCGGAAGAAGAAATAGTAAAATTTTTAGACGGCAAGAACTATTAAAAGGACACAATTTATGAAATAATTCATCAAGAAATAGAAGTCAAAAGTATTGTCATTTTATTAAAGAGTTGTAACCGCATTTTTCGTAATTTTGTTAATTTTATACGGGATATTTGTAAAATATTGATTGTTTTATTATTTTCTGTTTTCTTTTATTATTTATTATTTTCTTTTATTTTGGTGATAATATCTTTCTTTTGCAATTTGTAGTTATACTCTATATAGTATTAGGTGGAACGAATCAGCTGATTGCTTGCGGCACAACAAATTCAGCCTTAACGGCTTAAAAAATATATTTATTGTAAATTTCGCATATCTTTAAATAAATGTTGTGTAGCAACCTTGACTAATTACTATAGTCTTATTAAAAGCCAAAATCTGTTTGATGCCTCCGTGTAACTTAAAACTTTGCCCAAAATAATATTTTTATCCTATGACTAGTACCAATAAATTAAATTAAACAAAAGGAAATGTTTATTTAAAAGAATATAGTAAAATAATTTTTATTTTTAAAAAATAATATATGTGTGTTGTGATAATATTATTTATATAATGTATAATACTTTTGCTTTGCGGCAAAATATGGACCTTCCACACAGTATAATTGATAAAATCTGTTATATGTCAATTGTGATATTTTGTGTATAGATTTTAGGTCAAGTTTGGTAATGCCATTTTTTGAAATATCGAGTATATTCCTTTATTGCAATTGAATATAGGTTCTCATTCAATCTTTTGCGTTTGTCAAGTTATAACACACGTTTGAGTTTAATTTCTTTCTAAATTACTAAAGGTAAGCTGAATATTTTTATTAATTTTATTATTTTTATAAAAATTATATATAAAATAATATATATATATGTATTTGTTGTGTTATTGTAACAAATATTAATTGTTATATTTTGTTATAATTTAATGCTATATTAATTATATTTGTTAATTAGTTATTTTTTTCAAATATTGAAAGAGTCATATCTAGATTTTATATTGAACTTTCATTTCCGTTTCATGCGGTTTTTATGCATTTGATTCGCTTGTAAGATTTCTTGTAAGAAAATAACGCGCCTTCTTATTAGTTAATTCGCGGTTGAACTTCGGAAGTGCAAGTGGGCGAAAATATTACCGTGGAAATTTTTAATTGCTGCAAGTGAGAGCAATTAATAATAGTTGTGATTTAGCTTTTTTTTCGGAAATTTTGCAATCTGTGAAGTTTTACTAAAGTTTAATGATCAAAATTGTTTAATTTGCATTTCTATCAATAAATGCTTCTAATAGATTTAAAGTGTGGATTCTTAGAATTAAATTAAAGTACCACTAAATTCACTCTTCAAATGTATAAATATGTGTGATTATATTTGTGGACAATAGTGCTAATATTATTGTTTAAAAATATTATTAAATTTTTGTTTCAAGTATTGTTGTAAACAATTTCACAATAACAATTTTTTCAAATTTCAAAAAAATAATAGTTTGAAGTATTTATTGCTAATTATTTTGTGAGCTGCTCATTTTTGCATTGGATTTCATTAAATTAGTATTTTATTGAAATTATATATATGATTTAGTAGATAGTTAATTAATATTAAATATTGTAAAAGTGACATTTTGAATTTTATGAAGACAAAAAAATGCGGCATTGTAACTACTTCGTTAGTTTTCGGCTCTGTTCGTACGTATAGCACCTAACTTTGCTAATTATTTTTTCTTTTTCGGAATACTTTCAGAGCAAGTTCAGTACGTGGAGTGTTCGGTGAAGTTGGCTGAGGTATTTTTTCAAAAGTCTAATTCGATTCTAATTGTTAACAAAAATATAAGAAATTTTCAAAAAAAAAAACATTTGCATAAACTTAATCTACAAGTACACGGTATTATTATATATTTAAAATATTAGTGCTGTATATAAACTAGATTATATATTATATTAGTTGATTATTACAATTAGTTTCTGGACAAATGCAGTGTCATTATTTGCTTTTGTACTATGAAACATGTTAAATTACTGTAGTACTTAAAATTTATTTAGTCGTTAATTTAATGGTAGAAATAAACTTTTTACCATAAGGAAAGAATCAGTCTTCAGTAATATTATTGAAGTGTTTGTTTGATGTATACGAATATAATTTCACAATATTTTACAATTTTAAAGTATTTTCGCAACTAGTGTAGTATGTAGAGTTCGCTTTCATCGTAAGTTCCCGATTCATTTCGTTTTGTTTCTTTCCGCCATTTTGTTTTACGATTATCTGTCCTTTCGTTGTTTAGTGTGTTATGTGCTTTTTGATTTTCGCAAATTCTCATGTGTGCAACTTAGTTTTTCTACTAACCGTGAATTATTATTAATGTATTAATATGTCAATTTCATTTTTTTAACTAGATATCATATTAATTGCTACCTTCAAAATTATTCCGGCAGTGCTATAAACTAATTACTGTAAAAAGTTATTTTCCAAATTGGTAGGGATATATACGCTATACAGATGTCCATCTAGCATAACATTACCACTTTTGTAATCAGTGTATTGAAATTTACAGACTAATTACTGCTTTAAGGCTGAGTTAGTCGGTAGATACCGTAAGAACTTAAATTCACAACCATCCAAACCTGTCTATTTGATAGGAACGAAATTAACAAAATTCGCCGCTTTTGTTCATTCCGTTCCTATCAAATACAAAGGTGTGGTTGATTGTGTATTTCTCTATGGCTTAAGTTCTTACGGTACGTACCGACTAAGTGAGCCTTTATATAGTATTGCAATTTTTGAATTTACATTGAAAGCAACAACAAATGCTGTGGTAATCGATGAATTTATCGCCTGTGTAACATGCCTTTAACATTTGAAAGTAAGAACAAATATTAAATTGCCGTTAATTTGGTCGCCTCATCATCATTTTGGCATCACAGTCCATGATGGACCATTGCCTCCTCTACAATACGCCTCCATTCATCTCTGCATATCGTGATTTGCAAGAATTATCAGTAAAAATCTCTTATATGTTTGGTAGATTATTTCTATGAAGTCAGTTTGTGCTTATATAACACGATCTTTCTGCTGACTATTGTTAGGAATGTTGTATCAGAAGCCAGTATTTTATTTTTATTTTCAATAAATATCGAAATTAGCGTCTAGTTTTAAGGTATTTTTTATTAAAATATTAATGGCATAGCGAAGTTTCTGTTTCTGTTTCTGTTTTAATAAAAAAAATATTTAATAATCGGAAAAGTAGTGTACAATTATCAGTTTTTGTATGTATTTATATATTTAAAATATGAAACAGTTTGCAACTATAGCTAATAATGATAGCAATAAGCTGTATAAAGTAAATAAAACCTTAAGTTTAAATGGAAATATTTGATATATATTAAATTAAATTGATAATAAGATAGTTTTTGCAATCATTATTTATAACATTCATTTTTTATATTATATATTATTTTAATCGGAAATAAAAGATTTGTTATATTTAAAGACTAGCTTCCTGGTCAGTTTTTATGTTGTCACATATTTATAAAGTAATTCGTTCGATTTAGAGAATTAAAGAAAATACAAATTTATTTTTATTAAATTTTAATTATTATTTTAATGAACACTGTACACCGTTGTCAAGTTATCGGTTAATAAGCATTTCAATTGGATGTTAGTACTTAGTACTAGGCTAAAAATTGTGCAATTTTATTAAACCAGCAATTTCTTTTTTTAAAAATTATTACAACACAAAAACTTACCAACATATTATATAACATTTAAAATAATGTTTTTTTTTTTTGCATTTTGATTATATTTTTATTCTTAATAGCTATACGCGCTGTATTTCTTTTTTCACAAATTCTCTAATAATAAATTGTGGCTTGATTATATTATAGTTCAACGTTTATTTAAAATACTATTTTTAATATACAATATACGCAATGTATATATACATATTCTTATATAAATTTATGTACCATAAATTACAATTATTTTCTTTTAAAGTGTATTTTTATATTTCTCTTTATATAATATTTATATATAAATTTCTTGTATATTCATTACTTATATATATAATTTTTATATATAAATTACATTAAATTATTTGTATATTGATACAATTCTTGTGATAATTTTTACAAACTTACCCACTTTTTCTAGAAAAAATAAAAAGTATCTAAAATTCTGTTCATAATTGTTTTGTTTTTGGTTCTGACTTTATTATTATCGTATAAAATTGTGCTATCCAACTTTTTCTTAGATTTTATTGCAGATATAAATCTCAATAGATTTACAAAATTTGTTTCCATAAAAACCAATAGTATATTTTTTACAGTTAAACATAAATATTAGTAAATTCAAAATCCTAGGCTTTCAAGTTATTTCTAATTAGTGCCACTGATCTTAACTTGGATTTGACAATTCGATTTTGAATTTTGAATTTTTTCTACTTCACCCAGTATACCCTGAGGATTTTATTAATAAGTCTTTATATTTTGTTAATAAAAATTCATATTGCATTTTGCATTAATTGTGACTGAAAAATATATTTTAATAAATATCTTTTTATTGGTTAATTGTTTATTAGCATAAAATTAGCAAATATTTTAATCAAGTTTGTTATAACTATTAATAATAGTATTGGAATATCAAATTTAAGATAATTAAGATTGGAAAAAATTATAATGTGCTGAAGTTAAGGTTATGACGACGACGGTGCTTATAGAAATCCACCTATTCCTATTGACCCATTGTGTTACCGTACCAAAATTGGAGAGTTTTGAATAATCCATTTTTAATTCAAATTTAAATTTTTGCCATCCTTATATGTACAATTATACTCGTATATTATTTTTGTGTTGATTTTTCAATATAATAGCAAACATATGAAATAATTAAAATTTATTCTTTTATTTTATATATTATAATTGAAAAATTTACTATAATATTAAACAATTAACCAAAAAATTAAGTATAAAATTAAAACATTTTAGTATAAAACATATACATATATTCATTATATTAAAATATTATTGTAGATTGAATCCTTTATAAATATCCTAAATCTAATCCATCCTCATCACATCACATTTTCTCTCATTCAATTATTTTGTTGATGATAGTTTTAAAAGAAGTAAAACGTAAATTTGTAAATATCATTTATTTAAAAAATAAGTATTTTCTTCTTTTTAATATAGGTATATACTGTATAATGTCTCTTCAACCAAGCGTAAGACCACGTGTTCGTGTTCCTTCACCTCAACTTATGGGAAAAGTTGGTATTCGTCCTGTCATGACATTTACGGGTCCCAGGGTTAGTATATCATTATTACTTTTGAACAGTTTCAAAAAAATAAAATCAAAAAATATATATAATAAAAATATTTTATTATAAAAATATATTTAATAAATAAAACCTAATAAATATAAACCACAATAATTATCAAATTTTATTATAGATGTC